CAAACATTTCCTAAAAACGTATGCTATGTTAATCTAGCATACAGGACAACTTCTACTGCTACAACTATTTAAAAATGGGACAACCGTCTGCCATGTTTTCTTTGCTTTGGAGCCCTGCATTGAGCAGGGAATGGCCTTATAGGCCTCTTCCAACTCTATGATTCTACGATTTACTACTTTTGCTAAGTAACATAGGTAAGTGTTGTTCAAACTGGCATATTTCAGGCTGAACACACTGCTGAAAGGAAGTAGATTGGGACAAAATCAGACATACCATGAGGTTCCTGATGAACCTCCTCCCTCTCTCATTGACTTTCTTTATATGTCTCTTTCTCATACTTTGCCTTAAATGCAGGTGCATGAAAACATTCAGTGCAGACTTCAGTATGGAAGAGGTTTCAAAAAATATTTCCTATTCTACTGTCTTTTTTTAAAAAAAGGTCCCCCAAGTGCCATGGCCAGAATCTAAAACATGTCTTTCACCCAGATGCAATCACCATATATGTGAAAAAGCCCACAGGAGATCTGATCATATTTGTTGTTGTTGTTTAGTTGTTTAGTCGTGTCTGACTCTTTGTGACCCCATGGACCAGAGCACACCAGGCCCTCCTGTCTTCCACTGCCTCCCAGAGTTTGGTCTGATTCATGTTGGTATATTTAGCTGGTATATCCAGAGAGAAAACCAAAACGAGTACCATTAAGATAGTAACCAAAGAGGCATTAAATAACATTGAGTGCCTGCTTGTCTTCCAGCAACTCATAAATCATTTTAGCAAGGCCTGCCAAGACTTTGGACTAACAATCAGCCTGAAGAAAACGTAAGTCATGGGCCAGGGTGTGGACTCACCTCCCTCTATGAGCATCTCCACGCAGGAATTTGAGGTTGTTCATGAATTTGTGTACCTTGGCTCAACGATCTCTGACACTCTCTCCCTAGATGTCAAGCTGGATAAACGCATTGGCAAAGCAACTACCATGTTCTCTAGACTCACAAAGAGAGTATGGCTCAATAAGAAGCTGATGGCATATATCAAGATCCAGGTCTATAGAGCCTGTGTCCTGAGCACACTCCTGGACTGCAGTGAGTCCTGGACCCTTGGTGCATAGCAGGAGAAGCTAAACACGTTCCATATGTGTTAGTCTCTGACGCATTTTGGTATCACCTGGCAGGACAAAGTTCCAAATAGAGTAGTCTTAGATAGAGCTGGAATTTTTAGCATGTATACATTGCTGAAACAGTGCTGTCTACGTTGGCTTGGGCATTTCATGAGAATGGCTGATGCTCGGATTCCAAAAGATCTCCTATATAGAGAATTAATGCAGGGAAATCGCTCCAGAGGGAGACCACAGCTGTGATACAAGGATATTTGCAAACGGGATCTGAAGGCCTTAGGAATGGACCTCAAAAGATGGGAAACATTGACATCTGAGTGTTCAGCCTGGAGGCAGGTGATGCATCATGACCTCTCCCAATTTGAAGAGACTCTTGTCCAGCAGGCCAAGGCAAAGAGGCAGTCCCGAAAGCAGCAAAATCAGGGAGCTGGACAGGGGACAGATTGTATTTGTCTTCAGTGTGGAAGGGATTGTCACTCTCGAATTGGCCTTCTCAGCCACACTAGACGCTGTTCCAAGTCCTCCATACAGAGCACGTTACCATAGTCTCTCGAGACGGAAGGACGTCTAATCTAATCTAAATATTTAGTAAGATCATATTTAATAAGAAAGAAATCCCTTCTTTGCAGCAGTGCAGCCCTTCCTCTGTGCTGCAAAGAGGTCATTTTAGGATAGTTCCCATACACAATTCTATCATGTTTAATACTAGTTGAACCCTATAGATCTTAGAGAGATTATCTTAATGGTACTCGTTTTGGTTTTGGTTTTTAAGTTTTGCTATGTTACTATACTGTTTAAATTTTGCTATGTTACAATTCTAGTTGTGTGTTCTCGTCATTGTTTCTTAATTGTAAGCTTCCAGGAAATACTTCTATTGTTGAGCGACATGTAATTTCAAAAGAGAGAGACATATAAAGGCCATTATGGTCTCTTCCAGCTCTGCAGTTCTAAGATTATTACACTGAGCTTTCATTGAGTGGAGAGTCCCAACAGTAATAAGGGGGGATCAAACAGCTTGTGCAAATGTTTCCATTATGCAAACATTGATTTCCAGAAGAAAATCTGTCCTTCATTTGTAGAGTAGCAATGTTTTGACAAACAGCATGACCCCAATATTACTATGCTGATGGGGTTTTCTGTTCAGTGGAAGTTTAGTAGGATACCAGCTATAATATAATGTCTGGTTTGCCGCTAATCTAAGGAGGACCTAAAAGTAGGAAATTCATAAAGAACTGGATAACACACATGTCCTCCCCCTAGATCCTGGAGGGTAGCAGCCATAGCCCATCTCAAAAAAAATTGTATTTTTTTTTAAAACCAAAAAAGCCCTCTCTGGCCCAACAATGGCCAATTTAAAATAAGAACTTAAGTTTTTGTTGGATGTTTGGGGCAGATGCCCACTTTTAGCAAAACTGCTTTCTGAAACCCCAAGGTGGGCAAAAGGGAACTTGTTGAGCCTTTTTTTTTAATGGTGCTTTGATTTGGGGGGACCTGGTGGGTCTTTGGTTGTCCTGGGAGCTGTATGTCACCCAGGAGCCATATTTTGCCCAGCCCTGGCCAAGAAATTGGATCTGTCTTGACCTTTGATGTATATCAATCTCTTCTGCCTTTAGTTCCCTTGAAAATTCTGACTTCCGTCATTGAACATGCAACAATGTACAGTACATGTCTTCTAAGATGAAAATCCCAATGAGTTCACTGAGCCTACTGCTCAATAACAGAGTGTAGGTTTGCAAGCTGTGCTGTGCTGCTAGTCAGTTGAAGACAAGAGTTGGCATTTGGTAGGTCAGCCTTGACATCATTTATCAGTCTTTTGTAGACATGTGTGGAAGGCCTCCAGCCTGTTCTGTACTCTAATATCATGCGTACCAATTGGGACAAACCCGTCCTCTGCCCTTCAAGATACATACTGACTCAGGGCATCTGAAATTCAGGACTTTGCTTATCTGCTTCTGGTGCTCCATAACAAGAAAAAAGATAGAATTACTGAGAATGGAGGAGAATACAGATGGTTATGGCCTGAGTGGAGTCATCCATGTTTCAAAAGAAGTAATCTTCAAACCAGGGACTATAAAGCCAGCTTCTTTGTTTAAGGGAAGCTTGTAAAAGCTTTGGAAATCCTTCTTAGGAGAAGTAGGGTGCTTGTTTCTGATCTGGGCAGCCCTTGGTCAAGATCGCAGTAGGGATTACCTTGAAGGGTACTGTAACGTAACCCATTCAGGCCCACCTCTGTGACTCCCACTGGCCTTGTTACAACCTGCCAGCAGCTCATTATTGATATCCCATCATACCAGTACAAAAGGAAGAGCTGGCCAGAAGGATGGGCCTATCTCCAAAGACCACAACAAACATTAACCACAGTGGGAAGGGTCACCTGCTACATGAAAAGAAACACATCTAAAAGTTTCATGAGGAGAAGGAGACAGCTCAAAAGCAAGGAAGAGGAACCTGAGGACTAAAAAAAAAAGGCAGAAGATCGGGGGAGGGGGAGAGAGAGAGAACAAGGAGGAGGGACAAGAGAAAGTTGAAGCCAAGGCAAGGGAAGGGAGGTGACTGCTTCAGAGGAGGAGGAGGAGTGCACCTGGGGGACATGATATCACTCACCAAAGCAATAACAAGCTTATTGCATGAGTTGTTCCCTTTGGAGGCCTGGCAACTCATTCTGAACAAGAAGTTATGGCTGCAGCACAAATGCCAAACCAAATTGAAGCTGAAAGGGAGAGATTGAGAGGTTGTGGAGACCCTCCTGAGGTGAGAATGTGGCTCCTTTCTTTTACTACAAGAAAAAGAGACTGGTCGAAAGACTGGTGAAGTCACCAGATGATTCACATGTGCTCCTCTCTTTCTCCTATGCTTTCTATTGCTGTTCATCTCCTTGAGGGGGCTGTAAGGAAAGCACCGGTATTGCAAAATAAAACAGAAGGAGAAACATGTTGGTCTGTTGAGACATTTCATAAACAATTGCTACCCAAGTGTGGCTCATGGACAAAACAGGCGGATCCTTATGACTGAGGAGGAGACAATCATAAACCATGTATCCTGCCAATGTTGACTTAATTATTCTAAATCTCAGCAGATACAACCAAGTATGATAGAAAGGGGCAAGCCTCCTAGCTTGCTTTGCTGTATTGGAAAGACTTTAGCAGAAGAAAGCAGAAAGAGAGAGAAAGAGGTGTTTTGGCCCAAAATCAGATTCCAAAATCCACAGTAGAATAACACCTTTGTTTGATGCAATCAGTAAGGCACAAAACATTTATGTGATAGAAAAGAGGCTCTTGGAGGGCAGATAGCTGGGACTGTACTTTATTATAGGGAATAATCAGTAGTATTACTCATTTGGAAAGTTTTTTTTTGTTTTGCTTGTTCCTTTGCTTTTTTGGAGTAAAACTTTCAAAGTCACCATGACCAGTGGGATGCTTGCAAGGGGGTGGGTGGGATTCTAGAGGGCAGATGAAAAGGCAGCTGCCATGAGCATCTACAAGAGTGGAGCCAGAAGGCTTCATGGATAGGCATTTAGCCATCTGCTAAGGAATGGGCTCCACTGAATCAGACCCAGTCGGGTTAGGTGTTCAATATAATTCACAGAACATTTTTTTTAAAAAAAAACAGGAAATAGTAATGGCCAGAGTCCTATTACTTATGCCCACCGGTGTTTATTCCAACAGCAGTTTGGCATTCAAACTTACACTGATGGAATTAATGCCAGTATAATTCTTCAACTGGATTCTGGCCAGTGTGTTTTTAGTGCTCTCTTCATTTATTGGAAGAATAACACTAGATATCTCTTTGGAGATATCTCTTTGAACTATAGCAAGAAAATCTGTAGCCTTTGGTTTTTGTTTACTTTGGATGAAAGAGTTAATGTTCTTAACACTTTTCTTTTTCAGGCTGTATGAAGGCAAAGAACAGACAGAATTTGAAGAAGTCATGAGAAAGCTTTTTGAGTCAATCAACAACCTGATGAAAAGCCAAAACAAGACAGCCATTTTATTACAGGTTTGCTATTTTATCTTCCTTGCACATGAGTCTCTCAATGTAAGTTGGCTCCTGCATCCATAAAACTGGAAGGAAGCTCAAGTTCTTTTTTCTTTTTTCTTTTGGTCTCAGACTGAAAGCATAGGCTTTCTGAAGAGGTCTCAGAGACTTGTGAGCTCATTGCCAGTGACAGTTTAACAGTCTGAGCAGCTGTTCAGAGGCAGAAAAGCTTGTTACTGGAGCTGTCCATGGTGCCTTTTAAATGCTGGAGGAATAACATGGGTGGCAATTTTCTGTCTGCTCATCTTTTCTACCTCCCGTATCTTTTAAAGGCCTGCAACTGCTAGAAATGGTTCTAGTTATGTGGGGTTTGTCAACAGAATCCAGTCATTCTAGTGCCATACAATGTCCATGGGGAAGTACCTCTCATAGTGCCAGTGTGACATTTTAAGGATAATACTATGCAGTGGGGAAAACCTGGTTTGCTTAGAAGTTTTTCAAACCAGCTTCCTTCTGCTTTCTGTGCGTGAGATCTGCGGGTAGCCATCTGGAGCAATACAATCAATTATTGTATTGCAGGAGTCCACAGGGGAGAAGAACGAGCCATCTTTTCTGAGTATGGCAATTTAAACTATCTTTTCTGAGATCAGTTAAAATCAAGTGTGTACCCTCTTTCAAACATTTCCACCCCGTCCCTTTGTCCTTTTTAATTTCCTCCTTCCTAAAATGATGTAGTGCTTACCTGGTACAGTACCTTTGGAAGATATAGTAAAAACAGTAGACAAATTATTTGGAGGAGGGAACACAACAGGTGCTCAGTTGAGAGGACATGATGTAATAGTAGACAGACAGTCAGACATGACTGCCCTTTTGCATTGGATCAGGTAATCACAGATTCCAGAAAGCAAATAATAGTGATGCCAGTCAAACTGGAGCAAAATAAACTACCTGTACCGTGCGGGGAAAAAAGAGATGATTCCTCAGTGAAAAACAACAGGCTTTCCCACAGTTAGCTTTGGACCAGATAGCTACTGATTTTTACTTCAATTTTATCTGTGTCATATATGATGCAACTACAGGGTAGGTAGCCAGTGTATTTGTTCACTTAAAATTGATCCTAAAGTTCCACTCTCTGGTATATTTTGGAGATAGGGCTGCATTCTACTCTTTTAATAAATAGAATTATTGTTTTTCCTCCTCACAGCAGCCCTTGGTGCAACAAAAAACTGTGTTTTATATAATAGACACTAATCAATTTAAATGTGCCTGAATCCTTCTGTACTCTGTCTTGGACAGATAACTATAGCAGACTTGGGGGGTTTCAGCCGAGATTCCAGCTTTCTCTCATCTTCACTCCCACCCTCCATTTAACATAAAACCTGGAGAATTCTGCAGAACATGATTTTCTCTGTAGAACTGAACTTTTGAAATGCTAGTTGATTTAGATGAAGGTATGATCCTATTTTGATTTTTGGATTCCACTCCTCTCACCCTTGTGGACCAACATGACTGTCTATACTCCCCCCCCCCATTTTATATAACTTCAGAAACAATAAATGAGCTTCACAGCTTCCCTTTCCTTCCAAATAAACATTCCTTGACTGTGAACCACATTGCATCTGTGATTCTTTGACTTTTTCTGGTGGTTGTGTAGTAATAGTTGCACATTTTTCTGTACTTTAGTAGCCTGAACATGTGCTTATTGGATGCCAAATGGACTAATGTGAGATCGTCATTATTCTTCCTCCCTTTCCTCTTTTTCCTGCCCTCTGTTTCTTTTTTGCATTTACACTGAGACTCATCATTGTTTCTGTTTGTGTTACTGAGGGTTTCTGTGACAGCACTGTGAAATCTTACAGCTAGAGTCTGGATGGCTAATCCAGAGTGCAGCCAAAACAATCAATTACACTTTAAATCTCCTTCAGCTTTGGTGTTAAAATCTGCAAGTTGGAATATATAGTGATAAACTGGGAATGCTGAGATGGAAAACCGATGAAACTTCAATTCTGTAGACCTTGGGCCTCCAGATGTTCTTGGACTTCAACTCCCAGAAATCCTGGCCAGCAGAGGTGGTGGTGAAGGCTTCTGGGAGTTGTAGTGCAAGAACATCTGGAGGCCCAAGCTTGGGGACCACTGCTGTAGATAGTCTTGCTTAAAAAACAATAATTTAAGCATGGTGTTTTAATTATTTTGTTTGGTTTTTATGATTAAGCCAAAAAGGCTAAAGATTTTCTTGATGACAGTGGGGAAAGGCCAACATTTCCATCAGTAGTGAAAGGTTATACCAGGTATAATTACTGTTAAAAACAGAGGTTTCGTTTCATTTAGTCGTTTAGTCATGTCCGACTCTTCATGACCCCATGGACCAGAGCATGCCAGGCCCTCCTATCTTCCACTGCCTCCCGGAGTTGGGTCAGATTCATGTTGGTTGCTTCGATGACACTGTCCAACCATCTCATCCTCAGTCGTCCCCTTCTCCTCTTGCCTTCACACTTTCCAAACATTAAGGTCTTTTCCAGGGAGTCCTCTCCTCTCATGAGATGGCCAAAGTACTGGAGCCTCAGCTTCAGGATCTGTCCTTCCAGGGAGCACTCAGGGTTGATTTCCTTTAGAATTGATAGGTTTGTTCTCCTTGCAGTCCAGGGGATTCTCAAGAGCCTCCTCCAGCACCACAATTCAAAGGCATCAATTCTTCGGCGGTCTGCTTTCTTTATGGTCCAGCTCTCACTTCCATACATCACAACAGGAAAAACCATAGCTTTGACTATTCGGACTTTTGTTGGCAAGGTGATGTCTCTGCTTTTCAAGATGCGGTCAAGATTTGTCATCGCTTTCCTCCCAAGAAGAAGGCGCCATTTAATTTCAGGGCTGCTGTCTCCACCTGCAGTGATCATGGAGCCCAGGAAGATAAAATTTGACACTGCCTCCATATCTTCCCCTTCTATTTCCCAGGAGGTGATGGGACCAGTGGCCATGATCTTAGTTTTTTTGATGTTGAGTTTCAGACCATTTTTTGCACTCTCCTCTTTCACTCTCATTACAAGGTTCTTTAATTCCTCCTCACTTTCTGCCATCAGAGTGGTATCATCTGCATATCGGAGGTTGTTGATATTTCTTCCGGCAATCTTAATTCCGGCTTGGGTTTCTTCCAGTCCAGCCTTCCGCATGATGTATTCTGCATATAAGTTAAATAAGCTGGGGGACAATATACAGCCTTGCCGTACTCCTTTCCCAATTTTGAACCAATCAGTTGTTCCATGACCAGTTCTAACTGTTGCTTCCTGTCCCACATATAGGTTTCTCAGGAGACAGATAAAGTGGTCAGGCACTCCCATTTCTTTAAGAACTTGCCATAGTCTGCTGTGGTCCACACAGTCAAAGGCTTTCGCATAGTCAATGAAGCAGAAGTAGATATTTTTCTGGAACTCTCTGGCTTTCTCCATAATCCAGCGCAAGTTAGCAATTTGGTCTCGAGTTCCTCTGCCTCTTCGGAATCCAGCTTGTACTTCTGGGAGTTCTCGGTCCACATACTGCTGAAGCCTACCTTGCAGGATTTTGAGCATAACCTTGCTAGCGTGCGAAATGAGTGCAATTGTACGGTAGTTGGAGCATTCTTTGGCACTGCCTTTCTTTGGGATTGGGATGTAGACTGATCTTTTCCAATCCTCTGGCCACTGTTGAGTTTTCCAAACTTGCTGGCATATTGAATGTAGCACCTTAACAGCATCATCTTTCAAGATTTTAAATAGTTCAACTGGAATGCCATCACCTCCACTGGCCTTGTTGTTAGCCAGGCTTTCTAAGGCCCACTTGACTTCACTCTCCAGGATGTCTGGCTCAAGGTCAGCAACTACATTGTCTGCATTGTCCGGGATATCCAAATCTTTCCGATATAATTCCTCTGTGTATTCTTGCCACCTCGTCTTGACGTCTTCTGCTTCTGTTAGGTCCCTCCCATTTTTGTCTTTTATCATGTTCATCTTTGCGCAAAATGTTCCTCTAATATGTCCAATTTTCCTGAACAGATCTCTGGTCTTTCCTTTTCTGTTATCTTCCTCTATTTCTTTGCATTGTTCATTTAAGAAGGCCCTCTTGTCTCTCCTTGCTATTCTTTGGAAGTCTGAATTCAAGTTTCTGTAACTTTCCCTATCTCCCTTGCATTTTGCTTCCCTTCTCCTCTCTGCTATTTCTAAGGCCTCGTTGGACAGCCACTTTACTTTCTTGCATTTCCTTTTCTTTGGGATGGTTTTCGTTGCTGCCTCCTGGACAATGTTACGAGCCTCTATCCAAAGTTCTTCAGGCACTCTGTCCACCAAATCTAGTTCCTTAAATCTGTTCTTTACTTCCACTGTGTATTCATAAGGGATTTGGTTTAGATTATACCTGAGTGGCCCAGTGGTTTTTCCTAATCTCTTCAGTCTAAGCTTGAATTTTGCTATGAGAAGCTGATGATCAGAACCGCAGTCAGCTCCAGGTCTTGTTTTTGCTGACTGTATAGAGCTTCTCCATCTTTGGCTGCAGAGAATATAATCAATCTGATTTCGATATTGCCCATCTGGTGATTTCCATGTATAGAGTCGCCTCTTGTGTTGTTGGAAAAGAGTGTTTGTGATGACCAGCTTATTCTCTTGACAAAACTCTATTAGCCTTTGTCCTGCTTCGTTCTGAACTCCAAGGCCAAACTTCCCTGTTGTTCCTTTTATCTCTTGGCTCCCTACTTTAGCATTCCAGTCCCCTAGAATGAGAAGAACATCTTTCTTTGGTGTCAGTTCTAGAAGGTGTTGTAAATCTTCATAGAATTGTTCAATTTCAGTCTCCTCAGCAATGCTGGTTGGTGCATAAACTTGGATTATTGTGATGTTGAAAGGTCTGCCTTAGATTCGTATTGACATCATTCTGTCATTTTTGAGATTGTATCCCATTACAGCTTTACCCACTCTTTTGTTGACTGTAAGGCTACTCCATTCTTTCTACGGGATTCGTGCCCACAATAGTAGACATGGTAGTCATCTGATTTGAAT